CACACTCCGATTGCCCAACGGTTGACCGTGACCACCGGCGCATTACTCAATACGGTCGAAATACTTTTATAACCAAATTTTCTGGTGCTACTCAAAAGGCACCTGCTGTGCGCAGTCGCATCAGGAATGGAACAGTAATGCCTTAATCTCTACGTTCGCGGGCCAGGCCGGCCCCCAACAGCTCATTAGGTCGGACTATTGAATCATTTGCTCCGGGCAGGATCCCCCGAGAAAACCCTAACAAATGCTGTCTCGCGGTCCAGACGTTCGAGTCAGAGGTTAGGAACAGGGCCCCGAACAAAACCCTACTACCTCCCACTGCCTTTGGGGTCAGACTTTTGAGCCAAAAGCTCATGCTGGGGTGCCTAAACTAGACCCCCTTCTTCTGCCTTGGCAACCGGGGAGTATCATTTACCCTTGCTGCTCTTCGCTCACCGGCCCTCTTCCTCATTTCCTTCCAACCCATCGTATAATGCAGTGCGATCAACCCATCTGCTAATCCCCTAGCCACTGTTCTGTGTCTCATCCATCGCCCAGAAAAGATAAACCAGAATGATCGCCTACTAACCTCAAAATATCTGTTTCACGTTGCAACCTTTAATGTCCTTACCGTGTGTCGAATTGGGCAACAGGCAACCCTTGCTGAAGCCTTACTTTTTCTCTCTATCGATGTATTTCGTGTCTCCGAAACACGCATGCAAGACCTCACTTGGGCCATACTCTTCAAGCCGCTTGAGACGAGCCCAGGTATTCCAAATTTCACTCTTCGGGCATCCGGTGATCCTGACGCAATGGCTCCTGGTATCTTCGGTGTGGAAGTTACACTCAGCCCCAAAGCTGGATCCCAGTAAACAGTCGCCTTTGCGCCTTGCGGTTATCTGGCCCAATTAGGATCAACGCAGGCGATGTGGTAAATGGTCGTATCAGTGTACTCCTCAACGGATAACAGTTCTGAGACTGATGAGGCTAGCTTTATCAAGATGTCGCAACTGCTTCCGTCGGCAAGAAGTACAGATATAATAATCCTGGCGGGTGATATGGATGCCCAGGTTGGACGACTAAGTTTGGAAGAAACACAGTTAGGTGGTCGATTTGGAGTCGATGCTGAGCGTAGGGATAATGGAGAGCGGCTTCTTCAGTTGTGTTCAGATCATCGTCTGTTCCTGGCCCGTACGAACTTCCAACTCAAACGCACACACCGAGTTACTTCGTGGCCAACTACCACAGGACAGTCATGGACTCAATTGGACTATATGGCTATCAGTTACCGATGGGGAGCCTCATTTAAGGATTGTCTTTCCTTCTGGGGTACGCACCTTGATTCCGATACCGCCATCGTGCGGGCCCGCCTAGCACTTCGCTTTCCGCCAGCACTACGCATCGCGAAAGAGAGCATCTCCGTTAATCAAATTCGACAAGTTTCGGTAGCTGAAGAGTATCGAGCTGATCTGGATAGAAATCTACAAAAAAGCACAGACATGTGGACGGCGAAGATTGCTTGGAGGATGAATTAAAGCTAGGTAAAGGAGCAATATTCTCAGCTTTCAGAACTGTTTGTCCAACCCATCTGACTGGACTCAGTGAACACTGGGTATCTTCGAGATCAACGGATCTTATTGCTACCAGAAAAGCCATACCAGCAACTAGCGACTGTGATGGCGCACGCGGATCCTTCGAACACCATTTAATCGGGAGTTTAAAGAATGACAGATGACGCTGGTGGATTTAGAAGGCTCAGGAGATGGAGAAGGCTTTCGCTGCAGGAAACAGACGCTCCCTTTTTCAACTAGTCCAGTCAACTGGTCAAAAGAAGTTAGGTGTCAATGAGACAATATACGAATAAGACGGAACCACAAGTCACTCCGTCAATCGCCTTCTTGAGCGTTGGGCTGAGCACTTCGAAGAACAGTTCAGCTGGTCTTCCTCAACGCAACCGCTGGAAGAACTAAGCGGGCCCAAATGGAACATCGACACCAATTTACCATCAGCACTCGTAATCCAGCGTGAGATTTCAATCCTGAGGCGCGACAGGGCAGCTGGCCGGGTGGTCTGCGTCCCGCGCTCTTCGAAGCTGGCGAGCTCTTGGTGGACAGTTCGACAACCGTACTGCAAATTAGGAACGGAAACAGAATACCAGCTGAATGAAGCTCCTCAATCATCATCCTAGTTTTCAAAAACGGAGCAAGAACTTCATGTGGAAAACATCGTGGTATCAGCCTGGTATCCGTCGTATCTAAGGTACTGGCATTGGTTTGCGCAAGTCGATGGATTATCGGGAGAGACATTCATGAGACTCAAGCTGGGTTTCACCCTGGTTGAGGATGCATCGACCATATGTTTACCTTGAGACAAATTCTTGAACGGCGCCACTCCTTCAGACGTCTAACGTTGGTCGTTTTTATGGATTTGAAAGCTGCTTTTGATTCCTTCGATCTTCGGAAACGTTGGCAGTGTCCGGCGATCAAAGGTGTCCTCTCCAGCTTTCTCTTCCTCATGAGGACACTGCATGCGAACCCCTATGGGCGCGTACGAGTATACGAGAAGCCCTTGTCTGAGTTCACTACGTCCAGTTGTGTAAAACAAGGCTGTCTTCTTTCCCCTTTCCTCTTCAGCCTTGTTATTGATATGCTGCTTGAAATTTCTGTCTGGTTCCGAAACCTCGGGAGTCAAAATGCTCTCGGGATGTTTCCTTACAGGTATTGAGTGTGCAGACCATGTTGCTATCCTTAACTCAGATCCTTCCTAAGTGTGAACTATTTTACATAACTCAAATAACTCTGTCGCACTGCTTGGCATGCGCTTCACACCTGCAAATTGTAAAGTGCTGGTACAAGACTGAGTGGAATCAAACCCACACCTGATGCTTGTAGGTGGGCCAATCGACGTGGCAGATAAGTTTGTTTACCTCGGCAGCTATATAAGTTCCGGTTGACTGGCTGGAGAGGAGATTAGTTCTCGAACCGGAAAGCCCAGATCAGCTTTTGTCAACCTCCGACACCTATAACGCTGAAGTGACGTGAGCTTTTCTGTCAAGGGAAGAGTTTACACTGCGGTGGTGCGATCCAAGCTGCTTTATGGATCCGAGACCTGGTTCCTATGCGCAGGAAACATACGGAAGATGTCAGCGTTTTGTCATCGGTGTCTCCGCAACATTGGTCATGTCTGGAGGGAAGATCGGATTATTACTGCTGACGTACGATAGATGGTCTTAGGAGGATAGATAGATGAATTACTCATGCTTCATAGGCTGTGCTGGTTGGGCCATGTACTCAGAATGCCAGAAGGCTGTCTGCCTTTTTTCCCCAGCCCTGTGCTGAGTGGAAGCGACCGAGAGGTGGACAGTATATGACCTGGCGACGAAGTACGAAAACATTTATTAGTCAACTTATTCGGCTGGGCAACTGCCGCCTCCCTGTTGGGGACTCCGGGATTCAAATCACCAGAAGTTAATGATATTGGCGGGAATGGTCCAATCGCGCAGTCAGTTTCGCTCGTGTATTAAATGTATCGCCTTTAATGCGTAGTTACAAGCGCTGACTCAAGAATTCACCCGCGTCCTGAACCATGACGGTAGGAGGCCTTTCGGACTAGCAGCTTGGTGGCACTTTGGGTGACCTCCAGAATTGTCGTTCGACGTTTTCGACCTAGCCGTTCCTTTTAGTGAACATTGACGTGCCAATTTGATCCTTCACTCCCCGGCGCTTTCCGAGACCGGTCTCACGGATCAACTGAAATATCGTCGGGCATTCGTGGTATTCTCTTCTTCCATTTCTTTGGGCCTCATTTTTGGCGCTTACTTTGTTTTACCCTTGACATGTTCACCGGGCCGAATTATGTTCGGGACGGACAGAGACATTTCTCTGAGATTCAAGCAATGTCATTGTTCTGTCTGATATCCAGTGCTTAGTTGGGTCTGGCTGTGCCGTGGTCCCTATTTGGTCGCCGCATTTGAAAATTGACTGTAACCGACTCCTCCCGTTGGCTGGGGTGATCTGCTTTTCTTAGATAGAGTCAAACACACCAGGCAAGCGCTGACTCAAGAATTCACCCGCGTCCTGAACCATGACGGTAGGAGGCCTTTCGGACTAGCAGCTTGGTGGCACTTTGGGTGACCTCCAGAATTGTCGTTCGACGTTTTCGACCTAGCCGTTCCTTTTAGTGAACATTGACATGCCAATTTGATCCTTCACTCCCCGGCGCTTTCCGAGACCGGTCTCACGGATCAACTGAAATATCGTCGGGCATTCGTGGTATTCTCTTCTTCCATTTCTTTGGGCCTCATTTTTGGCGCTTACTTTGTTTTACCCTTGACATGTTCACCGGGCCGAATTATGTTCGGGACGGACAGAGACATTTCTCTGAGATTCAAGCAATGTCATTGTTCTGTCTGATATCCAGTGCTTAGTTGGGTCTGGCTGTGCCGTGCCGCAGGCGAGACTCCTGCATTTTGCAATGATTTATAGATCTTTTTCGAGTATGAGTTAACAACTGACGGTGAGTTGGAAGGGAGCCCAGAAGATGGTTATAATGAATTCGTTTAACTTGGGGGCGAGATAGTCCAATTGCTTGGAGTGCGAATTTACTGACCGGAAGGTCCGGAAGGTCTGCATCTCAACTATCCCTGTCTAGGCTTGGGCAACCTGACAGTGTCTCAGCCCTTGTGCTTCCTTCGGGTGGCATGGCAGCTAGTCACCGGAAGAGGATTACAGCTGGACGATTCACTTAACGTAGGGATCGGCTGGCCTCTTAGTTGTCAGGCGAGTTGTCCATCCCCCTATGCAGTCCTGGAGAGCAAATAAGGAGGCCGCTGTTAAAGCGTATTGTCAGAATGCACACCGCTTCGCAGCTTCTATTCTTGGATATTCTGTTAGTATCGGAACTCTCATGATATGGTTATGCACGCAAAAGTACACCGCTAGATAATTTGATTTCACCATCTTTCGATAACACATACCTAGTTTCACCTGATTTTCTTCTACCTCTAGGTACGCGTAAATGATGCAGTAAAACGTGTCAGTACCTGTTGGCCACAAGTACACATCTAGTAACTCAGTTAGCCATGACGATGCCTGTTCATGCTACTCACACCATCACATCAGTTTGTAATTTCAAAACTGCCAAAGCTTTTGCGTTCTTCATCATGCTGTTTTTTTCTATATATCATGGCTCTCTGATGTTCAATAGACCAGGTGGGTACCACATTTACCCCCTATCAAGACTTCCCATTCAAAGGTGGGAATCTCTGTAAATCCCTATTGAGTGATGGAAGCGCGGGTCCTGGTGGTGAATGGCGTCCATACGGCTGCATGACCCATATTTACAATGAAGAGTAATTTCCTGTTGTTAAACAGCTCTTCTCCGACACATCTAGAGACAGCAACGTTTGCATGGAACAATTGGCTACCTGGGGAGATCATGCGCGTGTATATTTTATGGGCGATTCTCGATTGTTCAACTTATTCAGTGCTTTCGCACACCATCTGGATACCAAGAAGGCGCTCAAAGCAAAACAGCTGAACAACCGAACAGGCCTTTCAACTCACGTGAAAAGTACGAACTACGAACTGGTGGGTATCGACCGTTTCCATTCTGTCATTCTTTGTCGTCGAATACTTAATTGTTTGGGTAGCGTATTAGGAAATGTGATACATCGCCTCAGAACTGACTGACAGTGAATGGTATCGATGTGTCAGCCATCTAACCGGAGCTGTCAACGCGAATTTGATGAATATTGACTGCTCTGGTCAAGCGTTGGTTGTCTTGAACGTAGCCTTTTTAGGTCATGCTGGCTTTTGTGAATGATGCGTCTCCATTGACTTTCTACCTATGTCAGATATATGTGAGTAGTACACTCAACACCCATCGGGTTTACGTGGTAGCAGTTCGGAAGGAGTAATACTAATTTTACGCTTGACAGTACTTTGCTTTATACGTTTTGGGCCTGGACATAATCCTAAGTGGTGGATAAGATGTAGCACGGCAAATAGCTGCACAGTAACTTCGTTGAGAGTGACTAATCGAAGCATATGATAGAAGTCTGATGTCTTAGTGATCTGCCCTTCAATAAGTGCTCTGACGAGCGCATCGTTTTTGTTGGTTAATGTGTTACCCTGAGAACATTCAAGTACATCAACCCATCATCAGATCGATGGGTAATTCCAAACAACCAGTATTGACGGACAACTGGGTATCGAATGCCAACATTCCGGTGGATATAACGGACATAATCACAGAGCAGACCGTGTGTCACACCTCACGATTGTTGCCAGCTGTTCTATTCAGGTATGCACGCGTGCGACTACTTATAGGGATACGACTGTAAGTCCAAGCTTCAGTAATAGTACACACTCATGTTATTTATTTGATCATTATCTTTGGTTCTAGCCTCTTGTAGAATATAGGTGTCATTGTGGTGTAACGAGCTCCTAAATTTGGCTATAGACTAATGAAAATAATAAAAATCGTCCAGCCCCAGCCTAGTTGTTGTGCCACCCGAAGGGCGCAGGAGGGTTGAAGTACTGCCAAGATGGCCAAGTCTAGCCAGGAGTAGTCGAGATGCCGGCATTGGGTTCGACGTTTTAGTAATCCAAGCAACATATCTGACTGGCATGCCGCTTTTGTTAGTTCTAGGAAGCCACATAAAAGCCTATCATATGGGAACTTCACCTCTTACATTGTGTTTGAAAGGGCCTCGTGTGCTAACAAGTGAGTTCAGCAGGTGATGTATTTCTGGGCTGATAGATTCAATTAGTGGACGGTGGTGTGGTCCTTAAGCAGGTGACGAGTCACCAGTTGGTTCGTCTGAGGATTACAGTTATTTGAATCATGAGTTTATTGTAGAAATTTCCATCTCTTGGCTAAAAGGAGGGTGACATATATTAGTTTTCGATGCCTACGCAATCTTTACTTCTGGTGGCTATCTCTTACGGAAAGAATGCGCTGAATTGTTAGATGGCGCAATTCAACTGTTTACCATTCAGTGCTGCAATTCCTGTAGAGCAATAAGATAGGTAAGACACTTTGTACCGAATCCCATAAGATGCTGAAATTTTTCAGAGATCTATGTCGCCAGTCACTTTCTACGCTACAACTGATACGACAGCCTCGTCCACACTGGACAAAATGATCGGTGTTCTGGATGAATGTAGCTCATAATTGATAGTAGATGACCAATGTGGCCTTCGATAATTCTTCGTAACCAAGTATACTACTAAATTTTCAGGATAACCAATTTTTTCAGTAAATATGCCATGTTACGAAAAGCCCGTCAGATGACCGTACTGACATCATGGCCAGGTAGTTATCAGGTTCTCCGCGAAATTCACATTTTAGTTAGACAAGCAGTCCAACTCGCCATCGTTACTCAGGTTTCCTGACTAATTTGGTGTCAATTTCTGGTAACCAGTTTTCGTTGTTAGCTGTTCAGTCGGTTAGTCAGTAGTGGACTTTCAGCATGATAGCTGTATCAGTGGTTCCGTTCTGCCTTGCTGATATCCTTCGGTACGTTCCGTGCAATTAACACCAATCTTTCATTTCTTCCATATTCAGTGTTTTCTCCATTATGACGAAATGACCGCCGACGTTTTGCATATCCTGGACGCTTGGAAAGCGATACATGATGGGTCTTCCATCAAACATTTAAATCTGCGTCAGTTATTGCCTCCTCGCTGTCTGAACCAGCCGCCAACTCATTTGGTACTCTCGTTCGGCTCGGTAAGTGAGGAAAGAGCTCCTGATTTTCTAGGCCTTTGCAATCACACAGAACCAAGGAAACACCGCAGCACGGATTGCATTCATTCGCTATGCACTGCCACTGTTTTTCTTGAGTGCTACTGTTACGTATTGTTCACTAACTGTTCGTCATGCGAATCACACCATGGGGCTTAGGTTCATATCTTCGCGCTCCGAGCGTAGCACACGCAGGACGCACTTATGAGAGTAAGGAAGCCAGTGTGACCAAAAACCAAATCATGGTTGTACGGTTGCCCCGGTCGACCTGCATTTTCTCAACGCAGCTGAATAGTTTTCAAGTATCGGTTGGGAACTAGGGCTGTCTATCAGATAGCTATCCTAGGAAGAAGAGAACGAGAAAGCACGTGCTTGCTGGGCCATTCACTGACGCGTGTATGGTAAAGCCAAAAACAGACTTGTTAAATCGACATCTTGCTGATCTGTACTCACAACAACAATGAATGTACCTCCATACCGGTGGGAAGCATGCGGCCGTGCTGCGCGAAACCGAGCCATGGAATATGTATGCTTAGCTTAAGCCCAATGATCCGAATAGCGTGATATGCGTGGTTGACGGTTACAATCTCGCTAGCTCTCAGTGTATTAATGAGCAGCTACATACATGATCACGCCAGCCTCCAGAATGACGATAGGGTTACTAGGGAAGGTTATTTAGGTTTTGAGTCTGTCGGACTGATCCTGAGGAATTGAATTATATAATCACGTTGCCTCAGTGGACTTCGGCAATGCGGTCGGGGTCCATTCAAAAGAACTTCATGACAGGTCGGTTTCGGCCGACACGTGACAAGTTTTGAACATCCGTCATGTATTGTGGTACAAAAGATCCAGAGATTTTGCTCAGTAGTGAATCACCCGCCTAACAGGCAGTATCCCCAAGCAAGCACTGAAGGTTACAGCCCGTTGTGTATGTCTTAGCATTCTGTTGATTAAGACTCTCTATAGGTACTAATTCAAACAATGTAGCTCCACCTTCCTTGCATTTGTAACCTGGTTGAATAAAGGAAGTAAATGAATCGAAGCACATGTTTGTGACATGTATTTGAGAGAATGGAACCGTATCCACTTTGGCCAATAGTTCAAAATTGATTCTCTAGATAAAGTTGAAGTCGGATTCAAACTTCCAAATTGGGGACTTTTATTAGCAAACACTAGCGAATGTGATTCCGAGCTCTATCAGCTGTAGGATAGATGGGTCAAAAGGATGAAGCGGACTCACTCCTGGAAACGGTCGCACTTAATTTTCCTCATCAGACCCTCAGTTTCGTTCGCTGACTCAACGTTATGCAGTACAGTTGACAGCCCTTTCGGTTTAATGCGACCCAAGGCTCGGAAAGGGATTTATGGAGTAGATTGTGCAACATGTTTAAACTGTTAGCCATGTTCTATAGTGTGAATCTACGGATACGCCATCAGCCGGAGAAAACTGCGTTTGCATACTTCGGCCACACCAGAATTTAAATTGGTTATATCAGAATAGCCTGCCTTTCGTCAATCTTCTGGAATCATAGCTTTCTGAGACCGCATTTTGTGCACTCGGAGAATGTGAAACGAAAGTAGTTCGTTAACGGAAGGCTGTCGTGTGCATTGTTTTCAGTGTAGGCGACATTGAACTACTCAAAGAATAAAGCATACATGGGGTTGAGCGTCGGATTTACTCGGAAAGAACGAATGAAGGTCTATTTATATTCGTTCGGTAATTTTACTACTGATAAGTGTCTCCTTTTTAGGGGTGTTCTCTTGATGGATCAATGTGTGAATTTCTAAAGGCACCTTTTACAACATCAAACTTTCCGTCGGTCGACGACTGACGATTAAGAGTTGAGCTACTCCCCTATTAATAGTTTGAAGATTGGCTGTTTGCTTACACAAGTGAGAATCTTCATTGGAGATGAAAGATCCTGTGCCTCAGTCAGTCATACACAACCATTTGGAATTCAGATTAATTCTGGTCACATATAGAACAGCTTTGCTGAACCCACCAGATGCACAACAAAAGCTCGCTATGAGTGGTGAAAGTTGCTTTTCAATATGTTTGGATCTTCCGAGATGTTCCGATTGGCATCGTCACTTATGAGGAAATACAGTTTGCAATGATGTGTGATACTCAGCTTGGATGTAGACTAAGTCTGTTGTCGCATATTCCTGGCTGCTACTGAAGGTAACACCTGACAAAAGCTCAAACAACGACATAAAATGGTGCTGATGTATACGGATACATATTAGCACTCAGTTCAGACCCTGAAACTGTACCAGTTCACCTAGCCTCAGACCCGTCTTTTCCCTATCATTTGTCTGACTGGTCACAAGTGTCTCAAGCAGCCTTTTCCTATACGACGCATGTACGCACCTCTGATTTATTGTTAACCCGTTACACCCTTTGATTTCTGATCATCGTAGTAGCTTGCTACACTAGTTTCCAAGCGGTTCAAAGAAGATCGTCATACACCTTAGACACTCGTGAGTATGGCTAAATTGAGAAGGAAGTGTTATTTGCAGAGATTTCACGGAATACCGTACAACCGATATTTTATCCTTCACACAGACAACAAACCATGCGAGGCGTCCAGAAGCCACCCGTGTCGACCTCGTCAACTCTCTGGGTCATAATGATTCTGTGTTTTGATTTCGGTGTAGCTTACATGCCAATACTCTTTCGTACCTTCAATCGTGGTTCATCAGGCTGGGCAGTAGAACAAAACTTTTACAAATACGCTCATTTGCACACCAATTTGTTTTTTCAAGCGTGACTCACCTGAGACCCAGCTGAATTCTCGTTTGTGATGTCGAAGAGTTTCCGCGAACCTTATGAGCAGTGTGAAATAAGAATCGATTCGGAAATTGCGTCCATCCTGATCCACGCGCACATTCTTTACCCTACATTATCATCATCATCGTTGTTAGCTACAAGAACCGCGTACTTGTACAGTGGTTGTAGCTGCCACAGTTTCGTTCACCGATGATTCGGGGAGGTGGGGTAGGTAGCTGGGCATCGGAGGCGAGAGCTGATAATTTGGTACGTAAATGCAGCACTGGTCAGTGGATGTCAAGTAGGGGAATTGGGAAGGGGGTTATGCATTGAAGGCAATAGACTGGATGCACGAGCGCCATTGAGGGCGCGACTGGGCCATGTCTGACAATGTTTCCAACCATTGATATGGCCCGTCTCAGCGTCCCCATCCAGGGAGACGGCATTTACCATCGCAACTGAATTTGCTGGTAATAGCTTTCATACTTCTCTGCACGTGGCCAAGCCAGCGCAACCTATCGAGGGTGAACACCGCCGAACACCATTCGGCGCACTTGGGCATTGCTCATTCGGTGTTCCCACCGGACTCAGGCAATGCTTCGCAGACATCGATCGTCAAACACTGAAAGTCTTTTGACCTTCTCGGCGCGCAGCGGCCAGGTTTCTGATCCGTATAGTAATATGGAGCACACCGCAGCATTGTAAACTCGACCCTTGACAGAGAGGCTGATGTCACGCCTACGCCGCAGGTGACCCAGGTTCACAAAAGCTGCTCTCGTCTCCCCAACCCGGGTGGAAATATCATCTTCCGCGAGACCACCGGGACAGATGCCCAGGTAAACAAATTTGTCCACTATTTCATTCATTAATGTGATGCGTACGGCGGTTGACAAGTTCGTTCAAAATAGTGCAGGACGCGCAACTCTTCTTTTTGCTATCGCTATTCGGATATTCATGATGATTTTTCTATGCAATAATGTCAAAAACAAAAAGTAGCTGTGGCACGAGGATTGGCACGCCCACATCACACTGTCTTATACGCTGACGACGGTTATCCGTAGTCGTGGGATTTGAGTATGCCTTTCCAACAGTCCTGTTCGATCAGGTCCCTTGAAAACAATAGTTATCTCACATTTATCGAAACCTTTTTGACTGCGTAATTCCATGTCGCCGGACTTAATTAAACAGCCTCTCCGGTTGTCCTCATCGTCGTTCTGGGAGCTAGTGTAGTTGTGTGGCTATTTGTTTACACTGAGAGTTAGTAGGACTGCTTCTTAGCGATGACTGAACAGGGTGAAACAGTTAACCATGCTAATCACGCTGGTCAGGCCATTTGGCCAGGGTTAACCCTGCAGGCTCAGTGTCTCCACTTTATCTAGCACGGCTGTGCGCTTCCCACCCATGTGGACCTACGCTCGTTGCTGCTGTAGGTGTAGATCAGCGAGATACCGGTCCAGAGGTCAAATGGGCTGTTTTTGGCTTCACCTTGTACGCATCCTTGCCTGACCCAGGGAGCATGTGCATTCTCGTTTTTTGCCTGGGACAACCTTCTGACAAACTTTCCTATTTCCCAACTGACATTTGAGTACTATTCAGCCACGTTGGGAAAATGCAGGTCAACCGGAGTGATCGCTCAATAATAACTTGGTTTTCGGTTCCACTGGATTCCCTACTCTCTTGCGGCTACCCTCGGAATGCAAACATTTGAACTTCATCCCTGTGATTTGCTTCACTTGACGATTGGCTTAATGCATTTGAGTGCTTTTTACTCTTAAATTTATAGTTCCTTCACGTGGAATCGGTGTCGTAGATAGCATGGACTTTGAGTGATTGTGTTATGATCGTGTTACGGGGTTATTCCTCTACCAATCAATGATTTATAGGCAACCCGGGAATCGGGCGTGAACAGTTGGGCGGTGGTATTGTTAAAAGCTGATTCCATGGTTAGCGATAGGTGTTTATTGTTGGTGGGCGGAATAGCACAGCGGTTAGAGCGCGAATTTACTAGCTGGAAGGTTCGTGGTTCGAACCCGACCTCTGCCTCTCGACTTGTGGGACACCTGGCAGTATCACCGCCCTCGTGCATGACAGTTGGGCACCGAAAGGCTGCTACAGCCGGACGATTATTGATTATTATTATTTATTATCGGTGAGGAGTCGGGATGAGCACTTGTGCGTTGAAACCAGCACGATCTGCTTGCTTCCACTTGATATCCCTATCTAGGAAGAGGCATTTATCAAATTAATGCAGTTAATCCTTTGTGACTTATTCGTCGCTGCCAAATCATAGTCCTCCGAATCTAGCGCTTTCTCGTATGGATAACGCATAATGACAAGACTTAGGCGCCCGCGTCAGTCTTGATGATTCACTGGACAATAGCCCAAAGCGCCTTCAGGTTGTTCGTGGACATCCCGTTCACTATGATTACGATCTCTACACTAGCAAAATACATGGTTAAGCACTATAGTCTGGCTTTCCTATATGGATCTCTCTAAGCTTAAGAGAAATATAATCTTTTATCGATTACTTCGTCTAATTCTCGATCCCACTTCTTTCTGCGTACTTCGCAAGCTAGATCTTAGCTGCCATTATCGTCCAATTGTCGTCCGCTTTGTTTTATTCCGCGGACAAGTTTGCATGTCTTCATTTTGTATTCACAGAATACCTATTTTGAAAGGACATTCTCCATGATAGTTTTTTTTTAGCTACGGGCGCTTGCAGGCCTCAGAATATAACCCCTGTCGTCATGCAGTTTCTTCCTCGCTACCCGAATCCCTGTTCCTAGGCTCCGCACATCATATGCTTGTTTGCGGGCGCGGAGGCAACTTGACAATATGTCTGCCGTACAGAAAATTTGCCGCTCTGATCCCTAGCCTACTAAACTGACAAGACATATGGGTGTGGATGCTTCATCGCTGCGTGCGGTCGACCTCAGCTGACAGTCATCCCATTGAATATGGTGGTACCACATGACTGGAGCAAGAGTACATATCATATATTATCGGGCATCAGTCTCGTTGTTTATGACAACAGAATATGACCGATTTACTTGAACCAAATAGCACTGATCTCCTCAGCTCCCTAAGATGGAGGTTGTCCTTTCAGCAATCACAATAATGAGTTTATTTCCCTCTGGTTGCATAGGACCATAACAGTCCGAAGACTGTCGTTGCTTTGGTTACCACAAGGTTACTGAAATCTATCTGGCAGATTACCTTATTTTAGTGAGGGAATCAGAAAACAGTAGTTAATTCGGGAAGCTAAATCGATTGTCCCTGAACTGGACTATAGGGATACAGATTCCGCAACCAAACCACGTACGAGAAATTGGGAGAAACGACTCAAGCTATGAAACGCTACTGTAAAGACTAGGATTTCAGGGTACCAATTTTAGGTTTCACTTCGAACCTAGTTGATTGATGCAAGATATGCGGCTGAGATACTATCTGAGTATACGCACCCGAAGTCCTTTGTTAAGTCGAGAAGACTGTCGTTGTATTCGGTATGGTTCTGTAATAACAACAAATAAACAACGGTTATTGATTGAATAGAATTTTCAATGGTTAATACATAGCAATGATTCAATACGAACGTGCATTCAAGATTGTACCACAGGTCTTTGAGCAGATCCGACGTAAATATCAAGGAAAATACAGGTGAGGTTTATACTCCAAGCAGTGTCTGGAATGTGGAATGAGAGTCATGAAGTGTCAGTAGGTGTGAAGGGATCAACAAACGTTCACCGAACGTTACACCAATACCCGGTTGCTTGAGAAGGCTTACGCTACTTGTGAACGAAGGCAGCGGCGAACGGTGACAGTGTTCTGTAGCATATTCGGTTGATCAAATAGTCCTCGCCACTCAGACTATTTACCCTCCCATATTTCATGGTATGTGCACCCTTCGTTTTCAGTGATTGGAGATAGGGTTTGCCACTACACGGAATTCGTTGTGCTCTCCGGAACGAATGTTGCAGTGGCAACGAGGGTGACCTGTATCACATTTCCTCGTCAGATCTGATCCTTGTGTTACAACGAATGTTGCAGTGGCAACGAGGGTATCACATTTCCTCGTCAGGTCTGATCCTTGTGTTCTTTCTCCCGACACTTACCACAATTCTGTTCTTTTTCACTGTTCTTTCTCGTCCAGCAAACTATAATGCGTGTTAACAACTCCGAGGTTGGCCTCTTGGACTACAACGGTGAGTTTCTGGGTTGTCACGTGTTTACACGATCTAATCCTTTGATTGGACTGCGTATCTGTTCTTGGTTTCAGGTGACTATGCGACCTTGTATGTAACTTGTAAAGATCTATCGATCCACACTACTGACATTTCCTAAGGCGCACGTAATAAGCCTATAGCTGTTTAGTTTTTCGAAATGAATTGTCCGCAGACGTGGTGGTGTGCAGCTATCGGGAAGAGGAGTCACTAAAAGAAGTAGCTTAGATCTGAAATGGACGTAATCCCACCCACCCTCTTCTCTCACAACTAAATTGTCGTTGCACTCACAAGCCAACACAAACCAACAAAGTTAACCCCGAAGATGAATAATCAATTGAAACACTCTGAACTGGAAGAGTGAGGAGTCAAACCCGATCAAAAATAATTTGAAATTCCCGCAACTTATTAGTCACAAACAAGATTTAGACAACCACACTACTGACAGACCTCTTAACTGACTTTCAACATCGATCTAGTGTGCTTATCTTTGCTTATCTTGTAGATTGGTTTTCTGTTTGCCTTGAAACCCAACCAACTTGGTGACCTGCCTACTTGGCCTGATGGAGTTTCTGTATCAAAAGCGAAACGTTGCCCAGTTAAAACCACTGATCGTTTATCAAACCCTTCTGAAACGATAAAAAGCATTTTCTTCAGCAAACACCTTTTGGACCAAGATTCATGACTAATTCAGCCTCCCTCCCCATCAGTGTAACTCGATAGGCGAGTATTAGGGTGAAATTATTATGCAGAAGGTTGCGCAACCGATCGTCCAACATGCATGAAGGTCCTAGCGTAGCTCACTTTTAGGTGATCTGATGGCGTTTTTGCATTCCTCTACTGGCAAATTTCCCATAGGGCAAAAGCGTTTAAGCCAGATTATATAAAAGTGACTGCCACCGCAGTTTATTGATTTTCACCCTCGTTTATTCATAAATTACAACATGTGTTTGAACTTGAGACATCCGAATGCTATCCGGACACTCGATTTAGCCCAGATTGGACAGGTAGATAAGTGTATCCAGGCCGGATCGACCCATCCAAAGGGTTATATGGCGAAACAGTGACTGTCTCGGGCTAGAACAAAAACATGAACCCGTACTTTCATTGAGACAAAATGTGGGATTCCGACGGATGCTCATCGGAATAGCAGATTAAGAACGGTTACGAAAACGAGTAAATCATTGGGGTTATTTCTTGATATAAAGAGTAAATTCCTCGAAAACTCACTGACCGAATCGCTCGAATGCTTGTCAGTGCATTATCTCTTTGAGGGGGTGATGCCAGTCGCGTGTGACCAGATGAGATAGTTATCAAACATTTACTATGACTTCCTAGCAGAAGCTGAAGACAATTCTTTTTTACTTAATTTGGACATTCAGGTAAGTGAGAAGGTCGTCATAATAGGGAGAACGAGCCACTGGTGAAGGTTGCTTCAAGATAAGCTGTTTCAGAATTGATTTCGAGCTAGATGGAATAAGTTGAGATCATGGATTCCTAGGTTCACAGTAAAATTACTGGAATTCACGCAGTTTATTGGACGACAAAGTTTCCACCACAGCGGATGGTATTTCGCAACAAACAACTGACTGGGATTGAAACATTATCAAGGCACAGATACAACGCTGGTTAATGTGATGTCATATGATTCGTGGCTGGTCGGAGTCAAGTTATGTGGGTCAGGTGTCTTATGGACTTGGTGTCTGATTTTCACTTTAGAAGCTTGACCTGCCTTCATGCCATGGAGCAGGCTGGATCAGTCACTGATAGCTTGTCTCTTTTGGACGCGATGGTGCTGTGCATGGGTGCCTATGAATTCCGTACAACATCGCTTACGACAACAAAATTTTTTATCAGATGTGTGCGTCGACGAAAATGGTCCGTAGGCACTCGGTGAATGCCGTAGTTTGTTTAATTCACTGGTGTGACAACGCCTAACATTCCCACAACTTTCAAGTGAACAAAATACTACGCAGACGTCTAGCTCCCACTAAAGAACTAATGAAACTACAGGACCAAACCAACTGTGTCCACAAGATCGATCACACCCATTGCGTCCGCATCGGGTAGACAAACAGCCAACTAAAGTCGCACCTCAGTGAACACAATTGACACTTTTGTATTACTTCGAGGAACTTCGGCGAAGTTAGCAGATTAGAAATCCCACCAGCCACAATAGTAGCCGTGCTTTGTCAGTATCTCACTACATGTTATTCGTTCTTTAACCCTTGTTGATAAATCCGATGATTTCCAATTTATTGTCATTAAGAAACATCTCCAAGGAAACAGCTTAATAGCTCAAATTTTCAGTATGTCAGTCTCCCGTATTATCAGTAGTTACCGTAATCTAGGGAGAGGCACAAAAATAAAACTCCGATTGCACGTATGGTTGTGACCTTGACCTCGTACGACAGGGCAAGGATGTGACGAATGGTCGTCAATACGCGACTCAGTCCAACCCAATCCATTCCTCAACTTATGCTACGACAGCCCGGGAATTTTACCTATGCCTCTGCTAAGTTGTTTTCCCATTCCGGAAAATCAAAGTTGTGCGCCTTATTAGAGCTTGGCAGAGAGATTCGGGAATCACAGAAGCGTGTGGGGAAAGCGATCATTATGTGCGATCAATTGTGTGAGGGAAAGGTATGGACTGAATGCCTAGGGAAGATGTTCAACACATGAAATAACTCCCTCCCGAGCCGTTTTTCTTCGAAACCGTGGAAACAATATCTACATGTCCGGGAACTTACTGCGATTGCAGACCTAGGGCTCAGCGGAGGTCTTGGTTTGCTCAAATTCTTTAGACAGTTACAGCTGATTCTGGAAATTCCAGATGGCAAGTTGGTTGATGTGATAGTTTAATAGAACAAATGCACACATCAAGGTCTACGTGGTGCCACTGCACTAACGTTTCATTCCTTTTATCGAAAAAACATCTTCCTTTGTCTTACAATCACTGCCCTCGATTAAAATAAGGTTAATAACCTTTGACTGTAGTCCAGTAGTGTTGGCGAGAAATTTGACCACAGTTTCTTATTGCGGAGTGATGTTACAACCGCAAGTTGGTAAACCAAACTCTCAACACATCCATTAGCCGTCGGTATTTTCACCTCCGTTCATAACAACGAATTGTGAGGAAATTTAGTTTTTTTTCTAGCCATGTGTAGTTTTGGACCGAAAGTCCCGTTGGATAGAATTTTTTGGGAACCTTGTTTCAATTGGTGCAGGAAAGTCTTGAGAATATGGGCATGGTGCGATGTTATCCTTTGCTGGATTCGCGCGTCATGTCGAGCATTGCCCTCCCGCCTCCTCACAGAACAGAGTGCCAGATGCGGTTTGCGTGTACGACCAGCTGTGTGTTCCCTATCTCGTGTAAACCCGAGAGAATAACGGCGAAATTCGAATAGAAGAGAACATATCTAAAGCAAGTCCAGCGTGTCGACCATGGTTGTTAAATCCCGTAAGAACCGAAACCCGAAGTGTATGCAGAGAGTGGGCATTGACCCACACCACTCAGAATTTCCATCTTGGTCAAACGAACGTGTTTAACTATTGCTAATTAACAGTGGTCTCTAGCATCGTCGTAGTTTTGTCATTCTACACTGTCCAGAGTGTTAGAGCGGGTACTTGAAAATCTATGCATGCAGTACACAAACTACGCCAAAGTAAATTATGACAATTCAACCAATACAATATGGTATGGAAAAAGGATGCAGTCCGGAAGCCCAAACCAGGGGCTTGGAATGGTGACACATGCAAGGGCTCCGTAAGTTTGGGTGGTGCTAGTTTCCAGGGCGGCAGCCAGGACTGTCTATTGCTCTCACACACCTACTGAATGGTATTGATTACTGACAGGGGGTTAAATTCAGCCCTTGGGTTGATCACTTCAACCTTTGTTGTTGATATTTCAAAACCTACAATGTTCTTGTTCGGACGCTCAGCGTGCGACGCCTCAGTGATTCCCTACTCGTCACCGTCAACATTTGAGAGCCAAAACATTCGACATTTGACAATATACATATCACGCTCTATGGATTTTATGATCCTCCATTCATGTCGGTCAATCGTGAACTACAAACAATGTGGTTGACGAAAGATTCAAACCACATGATTAAGGTCACTTGCAGGATGACCTTGGGGTAGTGGGTGTGCTTATCGTATGCCTATCCGATGAGATTGAGGGTCCGGTTCTAGTGAGTAATATCGTAGTGCTGAACGCCTGCGCTGCTAATCGACCTCATGTTACCACTTTTCAATCTGGACGGTAGATGTTCCTTCACTCCCGCACAGGTACATTGACACGGGATACACTGCACTAATTAACGTTTCTTGAGCTCGGACGGGCTGCTAGTCTTTTTCTTCGCAAACTAACAACAAGAAGTGACGATAGGTGACGCTATACTTATGGCTTTTTGGACTCTTGGTTGAGTTGGTCTGACTTTAAAGTAAACGGTTTTGTTATCCACCGTTGAAGACCTACGTTCACGCACTAGCACATGGGTCACAGTCAGTTCTCTGTCTCTCCCGTGTCGCTGGTGTTCTTGCTCCAGTCTGTGTGACTGAAGCAAGATATTTGTCTTTACTTGGTGTGATGCCGTGAATGTGATCACATGTACCCAACCCACATTCCTTTCAGCAACCGTCCCCTGGTTATTATCGTTGACTGGAGTGTTGATGTTCTATGTATGATTCTCTTGTTTGATAGTGTTGCAAAATATGGATATCTCGGGTGTGCTGCATGTTTGTAGGTTTGGTTACCGAGTGTGGTTGTTAAGTCACAACACCTCGTCTCCAGTTAAGGAGACATTATCAATGCGCAGTTGACTTCCTTCTATTCTACTTGCGTTCGTGTAGTTCCTAGACATTGTCTTATATTTCTGCTATATTTAATTAGTTGTGAATTGGTTTGGCTCAATTTCCGATCGAATGAGACAGGATTTCTAATACGAGGCATTAAATCGACTACTGATTGTCACAAGTGAACTTTGGATATCACGTGGGTACCGCTGTCCAAATCAAAGCACACCAAACTTAATATTTTTTGTGTCATGCTGGCCGAACGCGTACCATGATGTGTTCCTTTGGAAATCTGCAGATGTGACCTTGTTCAACTTGTGGTACGAAAAACAGCGTTGCCTACTCGTACATTGAGTCGTCTTTAGATTTTAATCTGTGTATTCCAAGATTCTCATAATTGTATCCAGATATTCTGGAACACTGACGTTAGGAAGTTATGTGGAAGTATACTCCATTATTCACATTTGGGGATATCGTGGTTTCTATTAGCTGGTATTTCCGCTTGAGTCGTCTTAGATTTTAATCTGTGTATTCCAAGATTCTCATAATTGTATCCAGATATTCTGGAACACTGACGTTAGGAAGTTATGTGGAAGTATACTCCATTATTCACATTTGGGGATATCGTGGTTTCTATTAGCTGGTATTTCCGCGGTATACTTTAACCATGCTTTTTTTACCTAGTAAAGTTGTTGAGAGGTCTTCTGACGTGGTCGGTTGCCAATGCAAGCAGCAATCAAGTAATCTAAGACCGTCATCACAAGTGTACTCTCATTTGAAGGTGCAACATATGTCCACCGTTGTCAGCCACCGTGAGCCTATTCTCGTTCGTTCCTATCGCATCTATAATTTAGGGTTTTGTCCGCCACCCCGTCTTCTTGTCGTTGTTCATTCTTATTTATTTCTTGTACTTCTGATGGTCACCCGGTTGCCAGGGGACGCTTATCACCAGCGCTTCCGACTAGCCTGTTCGAATGGTCACTGTTTGCTCTTATCGACTTGAAAATTCGTCTGTTTTCTCTTGGCAGAAAAGCTGGAATCTTCGGCCACGTCGCTCTCATCTCTGTCTTTTGTGCGCACGGTATGGATGCTTCAAGGTGAGTGAGCTCGATGTTCACATGTTTTAGGGGCTCGGGATAGCACAGTGGTTAAGGCACGAGCCCACTAACCATGGTTTGAACCCAACCTCGTTATCTCGGGTGTTCCTGTTTAGGCTTAGGCAACCTGGCAGTATCTCATCCCTCGTGCTTTCTTCGGGTTGATGGCGTGTTACAGCTGAACGGTTGTGCTATTCGTATATTGTACTGTTCAGGAAGTGGGCATGCTCCGTCACTTCTCTTTTTGTCTACAGACCCTGTTGCTGAAGGACTGCTGAAAGAAGAACATGCTGCGATAACGAATAAGGAATTGGATGCTTACAATAACATAGCAGAGAAGGTCATGTAAGTTGCATTTGGCTCAATCATGGTGCTACTTTCCCTGTTGGGCGTTTTACACCTTGAAGATTCAGCAGTATGTTGATGTGCCATTACGAGTGACTTACCCCTCACTGTTTTCGTAACATTCACCTTCGATACGTGATCGTCAGAATGCGGTCTCTTTTGTTGAACCGTATTTTTTTCGACCAAAGTCAGAGTCCCTTTATAGGAAGGTTTAGTCAAGCCTGACGGCTGGTTTAGTATTCCATAGTTTGTCCCGCCACTTCAGGTTCTGTACTAGACGTCTCCTTCCAGGGTGCAGTTCTTGAAGCATGGAATCTCTTCCCATTGAAATCCTCCCACGCGGAGACACCTCTATAGCCAAGGAGAATACGGCTTCAGATAACTCAGTGATTAAGGCCAAAAGGTCCGTTGCTCGGACTCAATCTCAGTGTCTCGACTGCTTCTGTCTAATTTTGGGCAACCTGACAGTATCTCATCCCTTATGCTTCCTTCGGATGGCCTGACAGCTGGAAAATCGAAAGATTTTACAGCCGAACGATTATTGTCGCCCCTAAATTGCTAATTCGTTTTCCAGACAGGGGTAACTGTGCAATGCGAATGGCCCGTAATGCTCACCCATGTTTATTATTGGATTGTCGTTTTAAATAGTTAGTTGCATATGTACGGCTGCTGACCATTTGACCACAGTAATAAGTTTTTGACCTCACTTATCCGAAAGTTTCGCCCTGGACACGCATGTGCAACCATTTATTGGACACCGATCCACGGTCGCAGTAGCAGTCATGGGTTATCGGGTCCCAATAAATATCGTTGCCTTCAATATGTAAGAATGTCATCGTGATAGATTGTTTCTCTTTTGTTCCTCGCGTAGCAATTTTTTCTTCGCTTAATAATTTCGTCCTTCTTAGAGCTCATCAGGTATTATGTATGCAAGTGGCGAAATTCACTTGTTTGCAAATTCTATTCGTGCTAATTCGGCGTTTTTGGGTTTAGATGAAAGAATCATACGTCGTAGTGAAACCTTTTGGTGGGACTTTTATGTCAGTCGTAATATATTATTCCAGTATCGGAATGAAATCGTGATATTCTGCGAGTGTTGGAAAGGTATGGGACAAACCAGACAATATGCACCCGGATGCAGTGCGACTTCTCAAAACGGCGGTTACGATTGCTGGAAGAATTAGTGTGAACGAGAACATTTCCTTTAAGTCATCAAACCGAAAGATCATTGGGAAGAGTAATACAAAGTTCCACTTAAAGAGACGGGCGGAAAGATGAGTGTCAACGGATCCGAAGAAGGGAGTAGCGAATGCACAACGTCTACTCATCAGTTCTAATAAGGTAGAACTATTGTCAAAACTTTTTCGCGGCTTATTTGAAGCGAACTCCATTCTATGAAATTCAGCAAATAGTGTGACCACTGGAGAGGCGTCGGGCGAACCAATCACATTGGCCGAGCTTGAACACGTTCAGCTCTCTAGATGTGATAATTCAGGTGCATCCAGTGTGTGGAGTCAGATGTCAGATGTCTGGGTTTCGGACCCTAACACAGCCAAGCGTATACACAGCTGATAAGCTCTATGAGAGTGAAACTCGAGTTGAGTGTGGTGTGAACTATAGGGACTAATTGTGCCTTTACAGGATGTGGACTGTTCGTACGAAAGCAATGTGAAGGCGAATTCTACAAATTCGACAACCACCCAGAAATACTTGGGAGTAGTCAAGCGCTGTTCCTATTTGTTGGATCTTAAACGTCTTGGGTGGGTTAATTAGTAAATGTTCAAGACAAAAGTTACAATAAACGGTCGTCAGATTATTCTGGTAACGATCAGTTTTTGTTCTCTCTAACCAGTTTGGCTTTTATTACACGACCAAATCTCATTTTGAACTCCCCAAATCTCCTCACGTTACCGACAGTTTGTAGGTCGTTGTGAGAAATGGAACCTCAATCTGAGAATTCGGCACCCGGTGAACCTGTCAACACGTGACCACGTGATGTGGGTTCCGTGACTGAAGGATAAGTGGTGCTATATCTTTTCCAAGTATGAGTCAATCATACCGCTGATCAGCTTCTTATGGCTAAGTGATCAAGCAAGTAGCGGGGAGGTTACGGGTTCGAAACTCCATATAGCTGCGTGAGGGTGCACCGCTGGTGATTCTCAATAAGCGCGGAACAGCTATACAGTGCTTCTCAGTTTTTCGGTGTCGAGTGGCCTCACTTACAGGACAAGATGTCGGTTGAATGGCAAAAGTTTTGAATTACACTTCCAGATCACTTGGGACAGATATTCGAACTGCTTTATATTGAGAGTCACGGGGGAGCAGTTATACTTAAATTCACTTATTTTAGAGAACAGCAGTCCGGTTCCTCCGTTGAAGGTGACGAGTTTGGTTGTAGATAGATTTTCCATATTTTTCATTGCTGCGCATACGCACAGACCACCATCTTCAGCCAACAAAATATTTGAATTCATTGAGAAGATACTACTGGTGGTTGAGACTCAGTTAGCTGCTCCATATTACAAGAGAAACGACCGATATTTGTTCTGCGGAGAGGTTTTGTATGTTGTTTCAGGAGGGTACTCCGAAGCAGCGCCCCCTAAATCGATTCTGTGTGTTCTCTCCGAAAATCACAATTTGCGGCGTGTTAGTTCATCCTTTTGCTTTCGAATCTGCAGGTTAACTGAGTACCCTATTTCCGGCTTTTGTCGGACTACAGGCGAAATCGAAGTGTTAACACCTCACAGGAGCGAGTGATGTTGCTCTATCTTAGTGGTACATGGTATTTCCAAAGAAAGGCCACTCCGGAGAATAATAGTACCAAGTCTATCGCGTGAGGTGAATTGTTTTTTTTTTGAGGATTGAGCGTCTTCGTGAAATTTCCTTAGAATAGTCTTTTGTGGAGGACTTATGTCTAGCGGTTGTTCAACACCAGCATATTCGGATGCTTTTATTCGTGGCGCCTCATTCGTTTTTCTGGCATGATTGTTCTGCTGACCCGCTTGCTTTAAATCCAACCCATTAATACTTTTGCACGCCACTTTTCAGGCAACGCCTTCCTGAGGTAGAGATTTGGCGATCGAATCGTTTGATTGCTCAACGAATGGGGTTTCCGGCAGTGAATTGGCATTGTCCTAGTTCCAAACTAGGCGTTGTGGAACGTGCAATTCCAAACAGAACATCAGCTGTAGGTGAGTCACTGAAATATCCCTGAAACTTCCACCCTTCTGGTTTTGATTGCTGTGCCCCAGCCACTCAGCCCGTATTTTAGCTGCATCAACCAAATGTCTCTCGCACACACATTTTATCTATACGTGTTGCATACACTTTTTTCGTCTCGTATCTTATGAATGAAGCATTCGATTTCACTATTTCCCCGGAAAGAGATTACGGGGAATGGTGGTATTTGGCTTCTCCTAAGAATGGCTTCTGTTTGGAGGGTTGTCTCCTTTGGGGCGGGACAGATTCTAGTTAGGACTATCCATTATAGATTTCATTTGGCACCGATTATTCTTAATTACTTACTTGGGAACGTTTTATGTTATACTGTTCCATCTTCTGTGGTGACTCAAACTGTCCAATCCAACAGTAGCTGTTTTCGCCCTGTAAATTCGACAGAATGCACAGTTCCTGTTTGGCACGCGGATAAAGATGGTGACCACTGCATTGACTTGAGCATGTTTGGAATCAGGAGAGGGGATTCCTTTGGTTGCACCTCATATGACACTCCATTGCTTTGGCCAGATGACTAGTTGATATTGACGGCTGTCAAAATGCGATGCTCAATGAATTCCTTCACTGTACCACTCTCCAGGATTCAGTTGTCTTCTGATATGGTGATACTTTAATCAGAGTAGAATGGAAATTTTTATTTCCTTTTAAAAGTTACTTTTTTGACGGAAGATTATCGATGCGAACTCATCCGTTTTTTCGATAGTAGTCCGGCATTACTCGCTATCGGTGACAACTCAAAAGGAACCACTTCAAGGACAGTCGCAATTGGGAAGATGGAAATTCCACTGTGGTAGCCCGGAATCGCTACAGTGAACCATATTTGGACCATATTTGAACCATATTTGGCCATATTTGGACCGACACCTACCACCTCCCATGTTCTGCAACAGAAGGTATTATTCCAGCAGCGGTCTCAGTTGTGGCCTCGTCTTTATAGACTTGGGTATAGTCGTCGGATATAAGCAGTTTGCACTATCAGCTTACACTCATGACATCTTCGGGGGTATTCTACTGTATTGGCAGGATGTATGTAGTATTCTGTGCCTAGTATTCTACGTTGCACTTTGCTATGCATTACTATGCATTGCTGTGCTATACTGTAGCATACTCTACTATACTGGAACACACGCTATGCGAATAAATAACAGAAATAATCATTCAGCTGTAACATCCTTTCGGTTCCAAGCTGCTGTGTCACCTGCTGAAACACCAATCCTGAGATACTGCCAGGTTGCCGATACCTAGACAGAAGCAGTCGAGATGTTGAGCTTGTGTTTGAGTGACGGACGTTCTGGCCAGAAAGTTCGCGCTTTAACCACTGAGCCACCCCGACATCCATTCCATGTACTATACCACATGCTACAGTATACTGTATTGCTGCACTGTAGTATACGGCACTATGCGGTGCTATGCTATTTTGTGCATTACCAAAATCATTCAGCACATCCTTTCGGTTCCAAGCTGCTGTGTCACCTGCTGAAACACCAATCCTGAGATACTGCCAGGTTGCCGATACCTAGACAGAAGCAGTCGAGATGTTGAGCTTGTGTTTGAGTGACGGACGTTCTGGCCAGAAAGTTCGCGCTTTAACCACTGAGCCACCCCGACATCCATTCCATGTACTATACCACATGCTACAGTATACTGTATTGCTGCACTGTAGTATACGGCACTATGCGGTGCTATGCTATTTTGTGCATTACCAAGCTGTGTTGTACTACTCTTGTTATACTGTCATTCGAATCGTCACGTTTGAGCAAACAGCTTTTGTGGTCACCGGACTGAATTGAAGAAGATTGGATGATGGTTTCAAGATATAGGTACTAAAGTCACCTGTTTTCGAGGTCCCAACAAGGTCAATTCTACTGCTGTTCAGTATCAGGGTATTGAAAGTACGTCATCTGTCCCATAATTCTACAGCTTGTCTCGATAAGAACCAAACTTTTCATCATACAAGTGAATGATGCGCGCGTGAATGCGGTGATACTAGGTTATGTTCAGTCACTCGCGAACAGTCTGTGGTCGCCCACTATTGCTCCTTGTGGGAAATAAACCATTTTCTTCTGTATACACAGTGTCCGCTTGTAAGCCCATCGCAAAGGCTAGTTTTTGTGAGTGTCAACATTAAACCTTTTTTGTCACTCGATAGAACCTTGGGAGCCGCCTGTGTTATGCACGGAACCTCCTCCTCTTTCCGACGGATTCCACGTATCGGCTGAAGCGATGTTCCATGTAAGTTGGCCTTAGTTGCTCTGCGCTTTGGCACAGTCCCGTGGTTGTGCGTATTGGGAATTTCACTCAGCATCTATCGGGCACGTAATATCCAATATCTAATATATATATATGCTATAATATAAATACCTTTAGGTTTATCATGACTATGTAAACTCACTAGTTTCAAACCCGCTCCTTTGATTTACTGTTGCTGACAGGAGCCACTTTCATTTCCAATCGATCGCGCAAGTAGACCGCGTAACATCTACTAAAACCACATACCGCCTCCTGATGAAGTTCGTCAGAGCTTGGGTTTGTGAAAGCTGTTTTGTCGTTAATAAACGCACAGACTGTACACTGGTGATGTGCATCTGAACGTCGCTTGCATGTTACTACGCCGATTTAAACATACAGTTGTTCGTTTGATTCGTCTGCCCGGTTCGCTGCGTACTAGCCACGTAAGGGGCTTAAAGTTCCTGGAGCATACCAAAACTTATTCGTCATTTTCCTCAGTTTATTGTTTTCCAGCCCGGGTTACTATTCGCTCTCCGGTTAGCCTACCTAAATGCGGCATACCAGTTAAAGTCAAATCGCAGCTGGATGGCAGACAAATAAAAGTGGAACATAAGTAGAACATAAGGTTGACGGAAACTCTGGGGACTGCGCCTACCTGATGAGCCCCAAGAAAAGCGAAACCGGTCGTAGGCTGTCGGAGAGTTTTCAGCAACATTGTGAGTAGTTTCCTTTACGAAAAGTGGAACTAAATGTGGTTACCTGCGAGGGTTTCAGTTCCTGTTCGAGGATGAGCCTCAGGTCTTTCGTTGACATGATAACCCTGGGGGAAGATCCTGGGTGCCGCTGTTATGATCTCTACCGCACACAGTATAGTCGTATATTTACAGACTGGTCCACTAGGTTGGTTGGCAGAAGTCGGTGCTCGCCGACCATGTATGAACCGACCGACGTGGACCGAATGTTCGTGTCAAGAGGTGAGATGAAATAGGCGATAGGGTGACGAACAAACTGCCAGCAAACGCACAACGAGTGATGAAGCTGTTGGGCTGCCTCAGACTACCCCGTCTTCCAGTTTTTGAGTGTGGCAAGGGGTTTTCCGTGCGATTATTTGGCTTGCTGCTTGATGCAATGGGTAATCGTAGGGTGAGTCTATGGCCACTCCTGCTCACAAATACAGGCACAGAGGCATAAAACCATGAAAGGTAGCTGATAGGCATTCAAGCCCCATTGGTTCAGTTTATTAGCAAAGCTGGCTCAGCTCAAGTAGATATTCTGTTCTTCGGCAGGTCAGCGTTTACGGTTTTCGTGCCCGTCGAAGCAGATGGATACAACCTTGCGCTGGTTCGTTTTCGTTAGACCTATGGTCATACCTCATACAGACAATTCGGGCGGCACCGCGAAAAGCGCTTAGTGAGCTGGCTTGGGTCGATCGACTGAAGAATACAATGAGCATGTCTTATTATGTTCCAGTGGTTTGAAACTTCAAGTTACCCAATATGCTACGACTAATAAAGACCACCGAAGTAGTCGAATTAACTAACCGGCCGGATGCGTATTCAGATCCATGCAGGAATCTGTAAATCGCTTTGATATACATACCAATGGTGAACGTCCTAGGCGCATATCCCGGTGAATGGGCTATGTTGTTCACGTTTGCCCGCGAAGGCTCGGTTGACTCTCTCTGTGGATATACTCGTCCTTTCTATGAACTTCAAGGCAACCGGGTGACGGAGTGACGACGCAGTCATCTGGTGTTGGCGATAATAGGCAATACAAATCTAAATCAACAGTCGGCTGAACGCTTCGACTCGAAATCTATCGAGAACTCACTAGTCTCATGTGAACCTGAGGAGGACTTGTAGTGGAATGCATACGGCTCTGCCCTAGTGTATTTTGTTACTGTTTTTGCTGTTGTCCTTACCGTCGTTGGTTTCTATACTGGGATAACCAAACTTCGCCGGGGAAATCTGGCCAACCAGTCGAAACGAGACCCATTGTCTCAATTTCTTTTGACTAATTTATGGAGAAAAAAGGAACACCTCTCCATAGACGGGATTTTATGGGCAGTCAGTGATCCAAAGACGTATGCGTTTCCATAGCTAGCCTACTTCATTGTCCTTAATTTTTTACGCCTGTTCAGTGTTGCTGATTCCGGTTCGCGATTTGAATTACACTAGGTTTTTTGTGTGTCGGTGTCTTTTATGTTTCGGTTTTCCATCCTCACCTCACCTGGTTTTCAGAACGTACAAGTATTACTCAACTTGTACTGCAACAACCAGATGAAGTTCGAAGATGGTACGTGCTGCAGGTCGGCGGAACCCATTACCCCTGTCCAGCAACGCTGCTTCATTTTCATCGGACTATGGTGAGTGGACGTGTCGTTATCTTAGGCGGCTTTTTTCTGGTGTAGCACCCCAGGTTTATATCTCACCTAATTTCATCATCATCATCATCATGTTCACCAGCAACACCCAGCCGTCAAGCCGCATACACGTCGCACTGTGGCTATATCTGCCATAGTTTGGTTCGCCGATGATCTGGCAGATAGGGGGCTGATAGCTACGCATTAAAGGTGACAGTTGATGTAATTGATGTGTGGATATAGGGTGTCAATGGACTTTTCTGTGGGGAGATCTGGAGGAAGAGCTATGCAATACAGGCAAGAGCTTGGATGCGTGCGCGCCATTGAGCGCGTAACTGGGTCATGTCCGACATTGTCTCCAACCTTTGCTGTTTCCATTCTTGGAGTTCACATCCAGGGAGATGACCAACGCAGCTAAGTCTGTTGATAATAGCTTCCATGCTTCAGTGCTAAGTCATTGTTTGTTCTCCTTTGGACCGTTTCTATCCTGGGCTCAAACTCCAGTCAGGAGTATAGAACTATCACTTAGGCTCCTTCACTTATCTCACGGATAAGCCGTAATCCAGGTAAAGCTGCCTATGATTTTTAGCCAACGCAACAACAACATTGATGATAGTCCAGGAACAAACGGAGTGTCCTTTTTATGCACCGTATGATGGGGGTTTTGTCACCTAGGCCGTGCAAACATAAAAGTGCCAACCATGAGGCAGTTGAAACAAAAGAATGTGGAAATCCATGTGCCTGAGGTGAAGGTATCCAAATAATACAAATATTCGCTCAGCCGTAGTACTTCCTCGGTTCCCAGCTGCCATGTTACCTGAAGGAAGCACAAGACCTGAGATACTGCCAGGTGGTCATGGAGCATTTGAGATGCTGAGCGCGGGTTCGAACCACGATCAGTAAGTTGGTGCCTCGACGACTGAGCTATCTCGAAATCGAAATGAGGATGAACACTTTTTATTCTTATGGTCGGACACCTTAAGTTTATATCGGTTTACTTGATTTATTGATTTGGACTGAGCAGTCTGCTTGTCATAATGACCACACTCTCCATCACAATATTGTAACATGTCCCGCTTAGGGAGTACCGTTAACTATGTCTTTTGCATACAAGCAATCCATTACCCTATCAAGTTGTCTCCTTAGTTTTTCTTGTTATATACATGTGGGGATTGTAAGCAGAATACCCGAGGTATCATGCTACCGTTCATTGCTTGGTAATTTAATCAAGCGTGTAATGTACAAACCTTTCCATAAACAGTGCATCATTTAGTTATCGTTGTTCAGCTGTAATAGTCTTTCGATGCCTAGCTGTCATACCATCCGAAGTAAGCCAGAGGGCTGAGATACTGTCAGAATGCCTAAGCCTAGACAGGAGCAGTCGAAATACTGAAGTTGAGTTCGAATCACGGACCTCATGGTCAGTAAGTTCGCGCCTTAACCACTGAGCTATCTCGAGCTCCATCACTAATTCTTGACTGAACACATTCAGACGTGTTATTTCCTCAGTTCCGACTCTTCGGTTCGGACGCACAATGACTCCCATCCAGAGTAACTGCTGTTTTAACCAAAATATCCCTCCAAGTAGTAGTTACCGGCTATGTAGACGAACACCCATGATTTGTTTCTCCGGAGTACAAAATGGAGTCACATTGCACTTTTATTGATCTTTTCCAAGTTTGAATGGATGGTTTTGCGGAAATTTACTAATGGTTGGTATGAAGATTCATCATCGACACAAACCGTTTACATGCACATGAAAGTATCCTGCATGTTCCTAGAGTGGATTCGTGTTTTGTCTTATTTCTGTTTAGGTTTCGGAAACCTGGTAGTATTCCATCTCTCGTGCTTCTTTCGTGTGGTGAGGCAGCTAGGCACCGAAAGAGTGCTATAGTTGCGTGGTTATTTATCAGTTATTTGTTTCCATTTGACTGTTTCCTCGATCGTATCGCATCAGTCAGTCCGTACTTCTAAATTCCACCTTGGAGACTACCACCGTGGTTTCGTCATATATTTCAGCCGATGGTTCTAGCCTAGGCACCTTTACATCGTACCGCCTCATTGTATTTTATCCATTGTGCTCCTGTCACACCAAACCCTTTCAGAAGAATGGCGTGACGCTACCTAAAACGTAGAAACCAGCCACCTATCCTCTGAACATTGCCGTGAGCTGAGCTCAAAATGTGCATACATTACCTATCCTTGCTGCTGAATGGACTCCACTGAGCCTAGTTCTAATTAGATGTTTGTCTTTTTGAACTTTGCTGAAAAACGCTTGGCTACAGCTGTCCCATTACTGACTTATCATGCCGTTGCACTTGTTGCTTACCAGCTCATTTCAGCTGTAATTCCGAACACTTGCACGGTTGATCGAGTAACTTGGTTTTCATCCCTAACTGATCGAGTGTCCGCAGTTTGCTCTAAGCCGTGTAGGTTCGTGATCTAACAAGGTTGTAACTTTAAGTGCACTACAGTTTTGCAGCATTCCAAGAAGACGCCCTGTGACAAGACACCATGGAACTGGTGCTCCCTAGCGATCTGCATTCCCGCAACTACAATCGCGCGAGGTCAAGCAGAACGCAGAGTAAGAATGCTCACTGCGTGGAGAAGCCCCATCCCTTTGAGATGGTTTTATTGGCGACATAGGACTGTGTTTATCTTCCGTGTTTCTGTCAATGAAGCGTCTCTTATCCCTGTAGGTATTTCTGTGACATCTTTAGTTGGGGCTGAGCAGATCTCCTCTACTGCAGTTTTTCTATTTTTGGTTACCCAGATTCTTTTGATTCTCCAGACCTGGACTTTTTCTCAGCTCACACTTCTCTTTCCCGCAGCATCATCGCTTCGATACTCTGTTTCATCTACGACAACTTCATTCGGTCGCGAAGTAAGTCCTTTCCAGTTTTAATCTGGGCCCGTGTTGATTCGGTCTTGTTTGTCATTACTGCGTGTGTTATCAAACGGTTTCGACGCGCGTCCATTTCTCCATACATCCCATGCCCTTGATTTTGTGAGAGTACCTTGGCAAGCAACGGATTGCCACAACAGCCATGTTACTCGTGTCAAAATACTCACGTTCACATGTGAACGAAAGAAATACGCCACAATATTTACTACTCTTGCTCAAAAACGTGACGGAGTGTCTGGGTACGTGGGGCGACCTCCCACTTCTCACTTGTAGACTTGTGCAAACTCCCTTCCTGATTTATCTCTCCTCATGTCTAATCCATTCATCACGACTTCACGATTAAGTGTACTTTAGCTTCACACCAGGTGTGCGGTACCACGGTAAGGTGTGCGTCATGGAACGTGGTTTTTCCCGGTTGCCTACTGGGGGAAGTTTCGCTAGTTACTATCTTTGGTCATTCTGTCGATGAAATGCACGTTTTTAAGACATAATGCCATCCTTTGCTCTTCTTGGGACATTATCGCCGGTTTTCAGCCTTGTCATTCATATTGATGTTCACACGAATTTTTACGATTGTAAATTCCAAAAATGATCGTCCTCGTGGGCATTCTTCCAGCTTTTATTTTCGTGCTTTTTTGCGTCCACACGATTCAGCCGCAGCCAGGATTTGTTTGCAATATCAAAATTCACCGACGGAAATATGTGCACAATAGGTAATGTCGCGATTAGCTGAGTGACCTCTATACCTGTTCCGGAATAAGTGCGGTGGGGGGAGGAGCGGGATGAGGCATCCCTAAAGCTGTCGCCCGATTGATGGCTGACAATTGACAGTTCAAGTGGGGACAACTGAATAGTTTGGCTCCTCGGTGTATGCGTACTTCACAGTCCGCTACCCTCACACGCCGTTGCCCTGTCCGATTGAATTCGTCTTTTGGAAACTCCCTACTTTATAGTTCTCCTTCCTACTTCTGAGCCCGTCGAATTCTTCTGCGACGAAGTTGTTGCAATAGAGACACCTTTGCACACCAAATAACACCGCTACCTGTTTTGATTCCTCACCTGAGTCGAATGTCTCTGGAATCTTTTATCTCCCGTTAGCGTCGCGTCCGTTCAACAAGTTCGTGCGACACAATGCGGTTACAGTAGAGCCTAAGTCTTGGGTACAACTTTCCGTCTGCCGGTTGGTTTGTCGGCTCTCAATTTTTACACTTTCTGAGACGAACTAATTAGTCTGCAGTCGTTCGGGACTTGGTTTATGATATTCGCTACGGATGAAGTAAGTCCGCGCCGTTGGACGATTTGACCACTTTCACCTGTCAAGCGATTGGGTTCCGTCCTATGTGACCGTTCACGACCTGTCTGGAGGGAGAGAAAAGTTGACGAACCGAAATGACTTATTTTTTCGTCTGCACAAACTAGCACCTCATGTTTTGTCCCATTCCATTCGTATGCTGTAAAGTATCCGCCTGAGCCTACTGTGCACTGTTCACGAAATGCTTCTTCAACCCACCCCACCCTGAATGTTTTGGTGTGTTCGAATGCTGGGCTCCTAAGACTGTAACCTAGCTTGACGTCCGAATCGAGGTCACCAGACTGATATTTGGCCAAGTCCAATGTGAGAATGATAAAACATATAGTGATCCGCTTGATTTCATTATTATAGTTTAATCGTCGCTTGCAAACCCCGTGTACTGTTTTTCGTGTTAGTAAAGTGTTCTGTAGTGACCCCTGGCTTGTACCATCCATTAGGTGCTTGAGAATACTTGTCAGCTCGAGGCAGCACATATGACCAAGGCATGGTTTTCGTGTTCTCATGTGATTTGACGTCTGACTCTGATTGGCCGATAGTTTGACAAATCAGAACCCACCTCAGACGGTTCAGCAAACAATCGTCAAATGGCTTAGTCCAGTCGCTCCTCAGACATATCAGGCCAATAAGCAACCCAAATATCCTCTTATTTTCTTC